CTGAGCCACAACCCCAGCCCCAGTAATTAGTCTTAATTACCTTTTTCAGTGGTTTTAACAATCTGTTCTAGTGGAGGTTATGTGTATAAATAAATAAACATATATGATTTCATATGAAATTATACAGAGTTAGTTATGCCTGAATTTGTCCTGAGATAGAATGACTTTGTAGACTACTTGCATGTTTCTTGCCAGTTTCTCTCCTAGAAAATTCTTCAGAACCAAGATGCAAAACTTAGAAAAAAACAGAATGGGAAAAGAAGAAAAACTTTTTAGAGAAAGATTTCAGGTATGTTTTCCTCTGAAGGTAAAAATTAGCAACGATTAACTTCTTTTTGTTGTTTGGTACCAGAGATATTGAACCCAGGAGCACTCAACCATTAAGCCACATCCCCAGGCCTTTTTATTTATTTATTTAATTTCAAGACAGGGTCTCGTTAAGTTGCTTAGAGCCTCACTAAGTTGCTGAGCATAACTTTGAACTTGGCAATACTCCTGCCTCAGCCTCCAGAGCAACTGGGATTACAGGCGCATATGTTGACGCTAGGCTACAAATGTGCACTTTTAAAGACCCTAAAAATTTGCTTCACCAATACTTTATTTTTATTTTTCCTAATGTATTTCTATACTGACATGCCTTTGTACATGCTAGTCCCTTTGCCTGGAAAAACTCCTAAGAGTTGTTCTTTTTGGCACTGTTCAAATGTCATTCACTCTTTCCTAGTTCCTCCAAGTCAAGTCACTCCTTGGCACATTTTCTACCTCTACTATCTATAAGTTGTTTACAACCAGGGCCTGTCCTGAACTAATCTCCCAAGTCCCTCTGGAAGGGGATTTTAATTTGTCAAGTTTGTTCCCAGCCTCCAACAAAAAACTAAACTCCTGGTGCCCAGTGAGCGAATGACTATACAAACAAATAAATGATAACTGAAGAGAGGGAGGGAAAGAAGGAGAAAGGAATGTGTTTGACATCTTATTCTGTCACTAAGAGTCCATGGAACATTATTCCATCATTCTAAAAATCAAACAATTCTAACAATCAAATGACTACCTAACACTTTATAAACATCCAAAACTGTTTTTGAACCAAACTAAAAAAGGAATATACATAAATCTCTCAATCACTTATAACTTCCACTTAGACCAAAGCTGACTATGGTTACTATATCTAGAAATCGTGATCTGAAATTATCTATTGCAAATTGTGGTAGTGTTTTATTAGGTGGAAAACAATAATGTAGCAATTGCTTGTTGAAAAGACTCCTAAATCCTGTCTAGGGTTTTTTTCCCCTCATATTTTTGACTGTCTCACATGGGACAGAAATTTCATTTCCTATATATATGTAGGATTCTATTTTTTTCTGTGATGAGTTTTTGTAGTTGCCATTAGAAAGACTATGCTATTTCAATAATTTTTATCCAGCTCAAATTATAAAATATTGGGTATCACATTGCTCTCAGGTATTGAGGGTATAAAGATAAATTAGACTGTCCTTTATTTTCATTTCTTAAAATAGTTTACTAAATGTTATAATAGGAGTATATACATAGTAAACAATAAATTATGTATAGCAGTCATAAAAGGTGAGGTGGTCAAGAGACAAATGAGTATTTTAAACAGAAAAAAAAACAGCACAAGCAAAATAATGGAAATATGAAAAGTATACAGGGAATTCAAGGATTATCATATAGTTCCATGAGGCTTCAATAAAGGGGAGATGGAGCAAT